AACCGGTCGTAAGTCGAGGACTAAACCGGTCCTAAGTTGAGGACTTTCCCTGCCCGGGAGCGCTGCGCATGCGTGGTTCCGCCCCCTGCGCCGGCCGAGGCGTAGCTGGCAAGCGGCAGAGACGGAGCAGGCCGACCACCAGCTGGCCCAGCTCAAGGGAGGTAAGGCACCCGCCAGAAAAGGGGGAAAAAATGGCGGACAGCCTTGCTTGGCGACCCCCGTGAAATGGTCGATCGACCCCAAATGGGGTCGCGACCCGTAGGTTGAGAACCGCTGCCTTGGAACGACTTTTTGAGAAGTTTCAGAAAGCTATTTGAAATGTCCTCACATTCCAGCTAAATGTGCCTTTGACCCAGTGATTTCTCGGAATATGTTGGATCGAATCAGCTGATCCCACCACAAGCATGTTTAAAAACATTGTAAACAACAAAGTTGGCTTGGTTCCAGTTGGCTACAGAAAATGGTGTGATTGTTTCCATATAACAAAGAGTTATTTGATAGATGGAATTGCTGGAAAACCACACTTAAAAGGGCTTCTCAAAGTGTAATTCAGAGTGTCTACAAAGAAATGCTTCTGGGAATTTTGCATTTCTTGTGTGCCTAGTCTAAGACAAGCTTTATAAAAATTCATATTCATATGATGACTGTATAAGTAAAATTAGTATAATGAGTCACCTATTAGAAGAATACAGATAGTGGGAGAGACCGGTCTAATTGAAGGCAACCCATAATGACTCCTGAGTGAGCTGGGATATCAACTCAAGTCATCAACTTTCAAAAAGCATCTTTGCAGTATAGCAGCATTGTTGAGCATTTGTGCATAAACCATTGATAACAGCATTTTATGATCCAGTATGGCTGTATTTGGATTTAATCTTTTTTTTGGGGGGTGGGGGTCTTGTTTTTCTTTATTATGAATACTGTACCTATTAATTCTCAACGTGCTCCACTTGATCTTTTTCCAAATTTTAGATTTTAAAATGGCTGATCCTTATTGTTTCTGTGGACTGGTGACAATTGGAAGGGCAAATTTCATTTTCTTTGAAGGCAGAATTGTATCCCTGAATAAACAAATGAGTTCTACCTTCAATTTCAAAAGAATGTAGTTTGAGAAAAAAGCATCTAGAAATAAATATTTTTAACAGGGGTGTCAAACTGCTGGCCCGCGGGCCGGATGCGTCATGCGGAAGCCGCGCCCACCCCATTGCCGGCAATGGCAAAACTCCCGATACGTTGCGTGACATCATTTGATGTCGCGAGTTTGACATGTCTGTTTTAAAAGGAAAAATAATAAAGAGGTTATAAAAGTCTAGTGCTTGAAATATCACTTTGGAAATTTAAAATGCTAAGGAATGGTCTTAAAGAGATTTTTGTAATCATTAAAAATCGGCAACCTATTTTGAAACTCAACATTGAATAAAAACAATTACTATTAATAAATGTTAGCATCTACAGTCATTCTTTGCTGAATTAAACTCCTGAGGATATCTAATGTCTTAGTGTGAATTGGTGATCTGTCTATCATTTGCCAATTTAAAATGTGAAATTAATGTTCATGTTTTCAAAACATACCAAAACATACCCTGCCCTGAGGGAATTCTAGAAGTACTTCTGTGTAAATTAAGCATCTGTAGAGAATTGATTGTCATGTACAGCCTATGCCTGAAAGTAACCATGGCTAAATGGCACCAGATCAATGGAATCTACCCAGGAGTGGGGGAGGTCATGGGGAAGGGCTTGCTCAAAAGAAATGGTCTCAATGGTTTAAGAGATTAGTTTGGATTATTTGAGGATTCCTCCTATCTGGAATTACTTTAAAGATATTTCTCCAATTGTTCATCTCAGTCTTTTATTTTATTTCTTTATAAAGGATATACAGCATTGGCTTTTTAATTTTTAAATTGTTTTTTTATTAAACTGAAATATTCTAGCATCAGTATCTGAGAAAACCTGGGTCTTGTTTAACATGTTTCTTTTTTCATTCTTTGATCTAAGCAAGTAGGGCTTATTCTCTTGTCATTAATGAATATCATCAATGCTTGGACAAAATATAATTTAAATTGGTTACATTTAAAGAATTTACTTTCTGTCTCTTAGTTTTGGGCCAGCATTCCTGTTTTCTTAAAAATCTTCCTGCTTTGTTAAAAGTTCTTTGTCTAGTCTCTTATTATAGTAAGATTCCTAGGAGTTTTGCAATATGGAACTTTGGCTTTTACCCCAGTGTAATGCATGAGAAATATAGATCTTATTTTCCATATTTTCCAATGCATTAATATTCATCCCTTGGGAAATTAGCATCTCAATTTTATGCTCCCCTTGGTTCATATTTTTAGTTTGGAGGAAATATCATATTACACTGAAAAATGGCATTTTAATATAAATGTTAAAATGTGGGTTAATATTCCAAACTACTATTTTAAACATATTTAGGAAATGTTGACATTCCTTTAAAAGACTTTACATTCATCATATTGCTGTTTTCTGTAGAACAATTAGTATTATTTATGAAAATTTTCTTAATGGTCTCTGGATAACTTACATAATTACTTATAATCACAGTTTAAATTCACTCAAAGTAGGCAATCACCTTGGTTTTTTTGGTGGTAACTTCCACAAGTAAATTGAATTCCAAAAGTAAACCATGGGCTACAAGCAGTAATATTGTACTTTTTTTTTTTTTTGTCTATCCGATGGTTCTCAACCTGTGGTCCACAGACCTCTGGGGGGTTGCAATATCATCACAGGGTCTGTGATTTAAATCTTGAGTTAAGTCTTGGGGGGTCCATCGTCATAGTCTACGGCCAAAAAACATATTTAAAGGGGGTTTGTGGTGAAGAAAAGTTTGGCAACCACTGATTATATCTAGGTGTTAGGAAATGGTATGGTCACTTTGTGGGTAATTTCTATTTTTTTACTATAGGTTGAAATGAGCTACACTTATGGCTTTTCTTGCCCAGGTGTGTTATAAGCAGTGGTATAGGCTGCCACTTTTATTTATATAACTAGCTGTACCCGGCCACGCGTTGCTGTGGCTCAGTCTGGTTAAATGGAAAAGAAGTGTGTTGCTTTTACATCCAA